ATGACATCATTGAGGTGCTCAAGCTCCAGCGCCCCGACAAGGCGGTGATCCTTTGCTGGAGAATATATATATGTGTGTGTGTGTGTGTGTGTGTGTGTGTGTGGTTTCATAGCAGGGAGAAAAATGGCAAGTTTAATGGACAGGGTTTTAAATATAATTCATAATATAAAAAGAGAAAATGTGAAAGTACGTCTATTAGCTCTGGATATATAAAAGGCTTTTGATAGTGTCTCCTGGCCTGCTTTAAAACTGGTATTGCAGAAATTTGGATTCAGAGAAGTCTGACTTGACAAATTATATTCAAAGTGATGGTAATCATTTCCTCACAGAAAAAATAAGTATAACCAGAGGTACAAAGCAGGGTTGCCCCTTTTCCTAATCTTGTTTGCAATAGTAATGGAAATTTTAGCGAATGTAATTATAGAGGAAGTTAGTATAAAGGAATAGAGTAAAAATATATAGTTAATTTATTGGCAGATGATATTCTTTTATCAGTGGAAAACCTAATACAACAGTGGGGAAAACATGAAAATTTCCTAGAAGAATTTGGGAAAGTATCAGTTCTACAAATTAATTGGAACAAATCAGTAATGTTATTTAGTTACCTGGAAGAAAAGATTAAAAAAAATAAAAAGAGGGAAATTAAAATTGACTCACAGATGCAGAAGCCTTTTGCCTTTGACCAAGGAGCAAACTCAGTCATTTGTCTTTTGCAGAGTTTATTAAAAAAGACATATATACATGCAGATTCCAATTATTTTCTTTCAGCAACAAGCCTCGTAGAACTCCAATCTCCTTCATCCCAACTCCACCAAATGCACCGCCCTTCTCCACACTTCTCCAACAACCCATTCCAAAAACCCACAGCAAGGAGTAGTGCTTTTGCTCCTTTATTCCCCTTACAGCTGCCCCACCGTGGCTGTAACCACATAATGTTGGCCAGATGGTGTGGCTCTCGTTCCCTGCTGCCTTGATCTTTGCACCACTTATTGTTTGTTGCTGAAGAAATTAACTCTAACAAAAGGAACACCTCTGAAACTCTGCTATATACTGTATATGCTTGAGTATAAGTCTAGTTTTTCAGCCTTTTTTTAGGCTGAAAGGACCCCCCCCCCCTCGGCTTTTACACGGGTGAAGGTCCTGGCGGGAAGATGTAGGACTGAAAGAAGGGCTTCTTTTAACCCCGTGCCTTCCTGCCAGGATTCTCACCTCTCCACAGAGGAACCCAGGTCTCCTTTCTCTCCTCCTCTCTTGCACAGAACACGCCTTCCTCTCCTCCTCTCTCGGCGCCAGTCTTTCCCACTTTTCCTTATTCATATACACACAGTACTTCTCCCAAAATGTATAGTTAAAATAAGCTATGGTGATTATTGGAAGGATACATAAGCACATTTACACTGAAGAAGGTCTGACCTCACAACATCCTAGGATGCCTGCCACAGATGCAGGCGAAATGTCAGGAGAGAATGTTTCTGGAATATGGCCAAACAGCCCGGAAAACACAACCCAGTGATTCCAGCTATGAAAGCCTTCGACAATACGCTGACATTTGTTATTGCGTATTTTCACAACAACAAAAGTCAGTGTGTTGGGAAGAAGGAAAGACCACCAGCATTGAAGCGATGCTCCTCCACCATCAATTCCACTTGGCTGGCCACATTGCCCAAATGCCCACTCATTGTCTCCCAAAGCAGTTACTCTACTCCCAACTCAAGGAGGGGAAATGTAATCTTGGTGTACAGGAAAAGAGATTTAAAGATGAGCTTAAAGCCAACATTAAAAACTGTGGCACAGACACAGAGAACTGGGAAGACCTGGCCCTTGAGAGCTCTAGCTGGACGTCAGCTGTGACCAGCAGTGCTGCAAAATTCGAAGAGGCATGAATGGAGGGCGAAAGGGAGAAACGTGTCCACAGGAAGGCGTGTCAAACCAACCCTGACCAGGATCGCCTTCCACATGAAAACCGATGTCGTCACTGCGGGAGAACATGCGGATCAAGAATAGGGCTCCACAGCCATCTACGGACCCAGCGCCAACACACTACACTTGGAGGATGATCATCCTCGGTCTATGAGGGATCGCCTAAGTAAGTAAGTGTTGTGAAAAAGTGATAAAGAAGTCCCAATCTTTCTTGAAGTTGCTCAAAGATTTCCCTTGAATAAACAGTCACTTTTTCCATCTCAGATCGGTCGTAGATTTCAATTAGTCATTCTTCTTGTCTGGGGTAACAATTTCCTCCCATCTCTGAGGATAAATGATGCTTGCTGCAGTTATAATATATTCTAGGCATCTTCCAAATGTTTCTAGATGACTGTCAAGCATTCCTATGAAACAAAATTTATGTTTCACTGTAAATTTAAACTGTACAATTGTGGCTGCAGTTAGGAGAAAATAAAATAATAATAAAGGGAAATCATAATAATTTAGAATAAAATAGAAGATATAAGTTCTTACCGATCCATCGAAAGGGAAATCCGGCTATGGGAAAGGAAAAGAGCATTTCTATGAGGGAATTTGCAAGCCTGAGAAAACTAGCAGATGTTATTGATCGTCACTGGTCAGTCTAAGTTTGCTCTAGGCTGATGTTTACTTAGATATGAAGTCAACAAGAGAAATTTGGCAGGACAAAGAGATCAATATTATCGATTCAAGACTTGGAACATCTAAGGTCATATGGTGAGAGAGCGCCATCTTCTGACCACTTAATGTAAATAGCAGGCAATTTCAGAAAAGCTTCATCCTAATGTTTTCCTTCATGATTATTCATATTAAGAAATAAGTTATAATGAAGTTATTAAGGCAGAATTAACTAAAGGGGATTGCCTTGATCAGATCTTATGTTATAAGCATATAAAAGTTATAATTCAATTAGAGATTTAAGTAATTGAACTTATACGAGTCATCTTAGGCTAACAGGTAAAGGTTGGGATAAGTTACATAATCCAACAGATGTTTTGGTTCACAACGTGGCTGCCAAGACCTGATAAGATTGTCCTTGGCAACTATACATGGAAACACCTGTTAATGATTGCACTGTGTAAATGTCAGACTCTTTCTGCACATGTGTGGAAAAGTGATTTTATGCTATAAATACTGAAGCAATTGCGACATCAAAATTGTGACAGTCTTTTGTTCTGTACACCCTATCTTGCAAGATAGCAGCAAAGGTTTGGAATCGATTGCTGTCTCCATTCTCTTCCTTCCTGATTGTACTCGAATGAACATCGGGTAAAGTATATCCCGCAACACAATTTTTATCCAATATCATATATTTTTGTCCAGTCCAATATTTTCTGGCCTTTCTGAAAAAGCACCACGATATCATAAAAATATCCCAACAATATTAACGAGTATTGCCTTTGTATGTTTCAGATCAGAGCTTTCCAAACTGTGTGCCATGACACAATAGTGTGCCATTGTAATACACAGTATCTATGTAGATTTCAACTCTTAAAGACCTGAATTATGAGTGAAGCTCTGTTTCATGCATTTATAGGGTTTTTCTCCAGTGTGAATCCTTTGATGCGAACGTAGACTTCGACTCTGAGTGAAGCTCTGTCCACACTCCAGGCATTTATAGGGTTTCTCCCCAGTGTGAGTCCTTTGATGTGACTGTAGGTTTCCACTTTGAGTGAAGCTCTGTCCACACTCCAGACATGTATAGGGTTTCTCCCCAGTGTGAGTCCTTTGATGCCGATGTAGACTTGAACTGTAAGTGAAGCTCTTGCCACACTCCAGGCATTTATATGGTTTCTCCTCAGTGTGAACCCATTGATGTGAACGTAGATTTCTACTATGAGTGAAGCTCTGTCCGCATTCCAGGCAAGTATAGGGTTTCTCCCCAGTGTGAGCCTTTTGATGTGATTGTAGATTTCCACTTTGAGTGAAGCTCTGTCCACATTCCAGGCATGTATAGGGTTTCTCCCCAGTGTGAGTCCTTTGATGTCTATGTAGATGTGAACTCTGAGTGAAGCTCTGTCCACATTCCATGCATTTATAAGGTTTCTCCCCAGTGTGAATCCTTTCATGCGAACGTAGACTACAATTCTCAGTGAAGCTCTGTCCACACTCCAGGCATTTATAGGGTTTCTCCCCAGTGTGAACCCTTTGATGCGAATGTAGATGTCCACTTTGAATGAAGCTCTGCCCACATTCCAGGCATGTATAGGGTTTCTCTCCAGTGTGAGTCTGTTGATGTGATTGTAGATTTCCACTTTGAGTGAAGCTCTTTCCACACTCCAGACATGTATAGGGTTTCTCCCCAGTGTGAGTCCTTTGATGTAAATGTAGATGTGAACTCCAACTGAAGCTCTTTCCACACTCCAAGCATTTATAGGGTTTCTCCCCCGTGTGAGTTCTTTGATGTCTATGCTCCTCACCAGTATGAATCATGGTGCTGGAGATGATCCCTCTGTGTGAAATACTTTCCACACTCCAGGCCTTCAGAAGCGTTCTCCTTCATGTCAATAGTGATATGGGTGTTGAATTGCAACACAGATACTTGGCTCTTCTTTTTTCCTTTCTTATCTGTAAGTGAGGCCAAGAATTCAGCAAGGTCATCACCTTGAGAGGATTTCTTCTCTTCCTATACTAATGGTGTCCTTACTGCACCCAAGAGGTGGCGCCATAGAATCCTCATCTCCCTGGTCAAGAAAGAAGCAAAAGATCAGTGATGAAACTAGAAACCTTCTTTACCTGCAAGATGTCCCCACTTTCCCGTCACGGGTCATGTTGGTAATAGAAATAACAAGAAATGTTGGACTCAAGGTCTCAAGCAAAGGCAGTAACGGTTCTAAAAAAAAGAAGGAATTAATTCAGAAAGAAAGAAGAAAAAGAAAGGACTGAGGAAAGAAGAAAAGAATGAATGATGGAAGGGGAACTCTTTCTAGTACTGAAGCATCACACTGATTCCATGGGTTCGAACACTAAAAAGGTGAAGGTAGGTAAACAGGCAGAAATTAATTCTCCCTCCCAATATTAAAAGGGTGTCACTCACTGGATAATGAGTTTCACTGAATTACGATTACTGGGCTGCCCCCCTCCTACACTGGGTCCCAGGTCCGCTTCCAGAAGATCTCAAATTAGATGCTTGCTGCTCTCTCTGTGTGTGTGTTTACATGGAACACTTTGAGAAACAAGCACCAACAATTTTATCCAAAATAAACTTAACTCGGCTTGTGCGTAGGAAGTGGGCAAGAAAAGGAGGGGACTGGGTATGATGGGTGGAGAAGGGAGGGGCTTGCGTGTGAGGAGTGGGAAGTGAGGGGCCTTGAGTGTGGTGAATGGGCAGGGAGGGCAATTTGGGCGCAAGGAGTGAGCTGGGAGGTCAGCATGAGTGTGGGGATTAGGCAGGGAAGGCGCCTTGGATGTGAAGAAGTGGGCATGGAGGGTGTCCTAGGTGTGGGGA